TGCCACAGTACTTTAAAGTTGCTGTAATTAAGCCTCTTTTGAAAAAGCCTAACCTGGACCCAGATGTTTTAGCCAACTATAGACCTATATCCAACCTTCCATTCATCTCCAAGGTCCTGGAGAAAGCAGTAGCCAAACAGCTGTGTGACTATCTACATAGCAATAGCTTGTTTGAGGATTTTCAGTCAGGATTTAGAGCTCACCATAGCACAGAGACCGCACTGGTGAAAATTACTAATGACCTCCTAATGGCATCAGACAAAGGACTCGTCTCTGTCTTGGTTTTATTAGATCTTAGTGCTGCTTTTGACACCATTGACCATCAGATCCTACTACAGAGACTGGAACATTTCATCGGAATTAAAGGAGCCGTTCTAAGTTGGTTTAGGTCCTATTTATCAGATCGGTTTCAGTTTGTGCATGTTAACGATGAGTCCTCCATGCATGCCAGAGTTAGCCACGGAGTTCCGCAAGGATCCGTTCTCGGACCAATCCTCTTTACTTTATATATGCTTCCTTTAGGTAATATTATCAGGAAACACTCTATCAACTTTCATTGCTATGCAGATGATACTCAGTTATACCTATCGATCAAGCCAGATGAAACTCATCAGCTAGCTAAGCTTCAAATGTGCCTTCAGGATGTTAAAACCTGGATGACCTGCAATTTTCTAATGTTAAACTCAGCTAAAACTGAAGTTATTGTTCTAGGGCCTAAACGCCTTCGTGACGCATTATCTAGAGATATAGTTTCCCTGGATGGCATCGCCCTGGCCTCCAGCACCACTGTGAGAAATCTTGGAGTTATCTTCGATCAGGACATGTCGTTTAACTCTCACATTAAGCAAATTTCAAGAACCGCCTTCTTTCACCTTCGTAATATTGCAAAAATTAGGAGCATCCTGTGTAAAAATGATGCAGAAAAACTAGTCCATGCATTTGTTACTTCTAGGCTGGATTACTGCAATTCCTTGTTATCAGGGTCTTCAAAAAAGTCCATTAGGACTCTTCAGCTGATCCAGAATGCTGCAGCACGTGTTCTTACAGGAACCAGAAAAAGAGATCATATTTCTCCTGTCTTGGCTTCTTTGCACTGGCTTCCTGTTAAATCCAGAATAGAATTTAAAATCCTTCTCCTTACGTATAAAGCTCTTCATGGTCAGGCCCCATCTTATCTTAAAGAGCTTTTAGTACCTTACTGCCCTACCAGAGAACTGCGCTCCCAGAATGAAGGGTTACTGGCAGTTCCTAGAGTCTTGAAATCTAGAATGGGCGCTAGAGCGTTCGGCTATCAGAGTCCTCTTTTGTGGAACCAGGTTCCAGTTTGGGTCCGGGAAGCAGACACCGTCTCTATATTTAAGAGTAGGCTTAAGACTTTCCTTTATGATAGAGCTTATAGTTAGAGTAAGTCCACCCCTGGTTGTGCTGCTATAGGCCTAGACTGCCGGGGGATGCATCATGATGCACCGAGCTCCCCTTTCCTTTCTCTCTCTCCCTCCCGGTGCAACCTCATTCCATTAACAATGTTACTAACTGGACTCTCTCCCTTCCCCGTAGTCGTGTGCTTTCTCGTCCCCCTTCTCTCTTCTCTCTCTTCCTAACACTTTCTGCAGATATTCCTGGCTCTGGAGCTGTGGGGTCTGGATCTGTGGTTGGGAGTCTCCTCCTATCACTTCCTGCAGGTGTTCCTAGAGCTGTGGAGTCTGGATCTGTGGTTGGGAGTTTCCTGCTGCCCCCATGTTCCTGCTCATCATTAGCATTAATATCATTGCCATTTTTAATCTATTCTACGTGTTGCTGTGTTGGCTGCCCCTCTCTGCTCCTTCTGTCCTTCTCTCGCCCTCTCTCTCTCTCTTGCTCTCTCTTTCCCCTCACCCCCAACCGGCCGAGGCAGATGGCCGCCCACCCTGAGCCATGGTTCTGCTCAAGGTTTCTGCCTGTTAAAAGGAAGTTTTTCCTTGCCTGTGTCGCCTAGTGCTTGCTCATGGTGGGAATTGTTGGGTTTCTGTAGTTAACTTCAGAGTAGGGTCTGACCTGCTCTGTTTGGAAAGCGCTGTGAGACAACTGTTGTTGTGATGTGGCGCTATATAAATAAAATTGAATTGAATTGAATTACCTGCTAATTCACATGCCGACATTAAGGTTTATAAACAGATATAGCAAATGTGGAATTATGTTAGAGCACTATAGAAAAGACTTAAATTGTACAGATAGGTAATGAATGAAATAAGAAAACAACACATTTCATGTTTATATGTACCTCATAGTAATAGCACAACTAACCTTAGCTGAGGTTTTCCTTCTGGAGTTTCCTGATGGGCAGACCTGCCTGGACTGTAATTGGGCATTTGAACACCTTGCTTGCTGTGAAACGAAAAGTTTCTAACAATCTTTCATTAAACCTGTAGTTTCTCACATATATCCCATTTCAAATCCAGCGAAATAGAACGCAGTAACATACAGTGTCTTTGCTCTTCCAATTGTGGCATCTGGCCTGACTGCATCATTGGTTGCAGCCTCTGGGAAATCAGCTTCGGTCTCAATGAGCGTGGAAGAATCAGGCCACTCTGACACATTTACCACGGTGATGACTGGAAAACTATCTTTGTAAAAAGAAACAATCAACAAATAAAACAACAAATTCTGTTAAATTACAACTCCGGACCAGGAAAGCTTGGAATTTCTTGGGAAATGCAAACAATAAATAACATTATTTTAACTGTATTATGAATGCATTGCAGACAGTAATCCAAAGTAAACCACGTTTTTGTTGTTTATTCCATTTTTATTTGTATTGATATTTTGCTTTTCTGGGGCAATTAAGGCCAGTGATGAGATACCGATTTGTGGGAAAAGCAAAAACATATTCATTTGCAGAGCAAAAAGGGACAGGGGATCTCCAGTCTATCAACAAATACAGGAGATGAATGAGTTGTTAGAAAATATGGCTCCTCAAAGAAATACTGTAAAGTCACAGTGATAAAAAATTCAATATATCCCAGCTTTTACTTAATTTCCTCCCTCTCCGTTTCCCATGCAATCGAAGCTTTGACTAAATTTGGGTTGTAGTCTAGATGATGTGCAATGGAGAGAATAATCTCAGTTTCATTTTGAAACCTAATGTTGTGATATGGAGGGGTTACAGGTGTCCCCACCTTCAGGGGTTATCTTTGAGGTCCTGCTTCCGGGAAGGGCCTTCCCCAGGCGAGGTTTCCCCAAACGCAGACGCCTCTCCGCCTCCCAGCAGCAGTTGTGGGAGCACAGAGGTCTCAGACAATGAACTTCATTCAGGATGGAACCGGAAAGGCTCTTTTGTTCAGCCGACATCGTGTACAGGATAACAATCCTGCAAAGTGATGCTCAAAATATTATCCATACAATCCATTTATGGCACAGTCACTTTTTTTTTATGTGCATTTAGATTTTTGGGACATTTTGATTTTCAATATAATATAAATGGAGACTACGTTCAGTTTACGTTTTAGACTTCCAATATCTTTCATTTTAGTGTCACAGGATTTAATTAAATGTCGTCTTTGGAATATTTCCTGTTTTGAAACTAACTGCTATAAAAAGTAAAGTTCATTTATTTATTTTTTGAGTAGCCATTCAAATCAGAACTTGTTTTATAAGAAATACAAACCATGTCACCATCATTTATCTGATGGTGAGGTGATAAAATATAAACCTCCGACATTATTATGTTCAAAATTAAAACAGAAACGGAAAATATAATGACCGCTGATGGGCGAAATGTTGGGAACGGTTTCAAGATTGACTGTAAACTTAATTTTAAGAACGTTTCACAAACGTAACATATATGACACTTCTACGAGGAAGTACGCTTCCGTGCCGGTATTTTTCAAAATATCCAACCGAATGAAACTTTTTGAGCGACAGGTGGCGAAAACTAACTTACCTGTTTGGAGACTACGTCTCCCTGTAGGGCAGGCCGTTATCGTAAGGCAAGCGTTGCTTGGCAACAGCATAGCTATACTTTGGTCTTGGGCTCCCCCTGCTGGTCATTTGCGGTGTAGCTTTAATTTATAAGCGTCGGTTTTAAGTTGGTACTAGGTTTATAAAGTCTAAACTGTTGGAATAATTAAAAACAATGGACATGTCCTGCAAATTAATACATTTTAAATCTGTTCACTGCATTAAAAAATTATTTCATCCAAATCAGTTTAGCTACAAAGTGACCCGGGACAGATGATGAATGTGGGGCGCAACATATTGCCCAGGGGTACCTTAAAATGTGGCCTAGGGAACGGGTTTTCACTTCTGATTTCCTTTTAAAATAAAGTATATGACACAGAAAATGACATTCAAAACTGTCAATAAATTAAATTTGGTAGATTCCAAAAAATAATCCAAAGAGAACAATAAACTAAAAGTTTTTAAAAAAGGGAAAAAATAGAATGCTCAAATAGAACTAGCATACTATTTGTAATAATGTAAAAGTATGAAAATGTTCTCATTTCCAATGTTATTTAATTTAACCCTAGTATCATTAGTACAAGGAATATTACACAACCTTCATAGATTCACTTTAATCACTTATCATACAGCCAAAGCCAACACATTAGAAATATGATTCATATTTTTAAAATGAGTTAATCACGATTGCATGATAGATACTTGCTTGGTAATCAATAGATTGATTTTCATTTAAGGAACTCACTTGGTGAAATATCCATCTAACAAATAAAATTCAAGGGCTATTACAGTAAAACTGAGACAATTCAATGTAATTTACATTTTTAGAATGAATGTCAGGTTAGCAAAACAGAGTAAAAGCTCCATTCTTAAAAATCACGCCATAGTCTAAAACCATGGAGATTATTTGCTGCGGTTTTCTGTAAAAATCTGAGATTAATCAGTGACTGTTGAAGCCATTTAAAACCGTATGTTTCTCTGTCAAGTATCATCTTCGTTGTTTCAAGAAACATCTGTGTGTGTGAGGTTGTAAATCAGATGTCCTGCGTTGTTCTGGTTCCACGTCAGTTTAGCCAGTCCAGATCTTCGTCGTCCTCTTCATCACCAAAAAGAGGGGTAGGTGGTGGACGGCCCTTCAGGCTCTGGATACAAATAAGACACAAAAACATTCGCTGACAGGAGAATGGGGAAAAAAACATCTGGGGAATCATAAGAGGGGCCAAGTGGCTATCAAATCTGACAACTAAGTCTGAACTCTACAGGTTCCTCCTCACCATCTCATCCTCATCTTCCTCCTCTGTGCGTGCAGAAGGGGCTTTAGAAGGAGTTGAGGGCGGGAGAAATGGCTCCTCTCCATTATCCTTCACAACTCTCCTTAAAATTTTAAAATGGAGAACAGAAAAAGACGATTTACAGTTCAAATTAGCTCTAGTCATGAAAAACACTGTAAGGCCCTTTAAGTTGAGTTTTAATGTAGTTATCGGTCAAATTTAGTTGAAAACTTAGTTTTAACGCTGTTGTCAAATGGTATTTTGAAGCTGTGCATAATATTGAATATGACAGCTGGAATCTTGATGAGATTTTTTACAGGCCACGGTGATTCCTTATTCTGTTCGTAATGTCACAGAAATATCTGCAAGTTAGACACGGTTCCGTCATCCGAAAAATATTCCCCCCGGGACTCACCTTGTGTCTTCTGCGGGCATGTTCTGGAGGACATCTGGTGGTGGAGGGGGGTTGGCTGGGGGTCCAAAGGCCTTCTGAGAAACCGAATTGGTTTCCCCTACGTTCCCCCTATCCTCCACGCGCTCTACGTTCTCCACGCTGGTCACTGTAGCATTTCTTTCTTGACCATCTTTGGACACTGAACTCTCTTCTGGTAATTCATCTTTATGTTTATCCGACAGCTTGTTTGAGTCTTTTTTCTCCATACAAGAGTCAGAAGCAGACTGTTGTTCTTGCTTTTGTGCTACTACAGACTCTACAGCTACTGTTTCAGGTTCCTGTGGTAAAGGTTCCCTGCTCACATCCTTGTGAGGATCGCTTGCCTCTAGATCTTCCATTGGAGTTAATGCCTTCGATTCAGGCGCCGTTTTCTCCTCTGCTGGGACTTCCTGAATCATCTGAGCCTCATCGGTTTGGCCAGAGTTGGCATCTTCCACACGTTTCTCTTCTTCTTCTTCTTCTTCTTCTTCTTCCTGTGTTGCTTCTTGTTGTCCATTCGCGTGTACGGTCTGATCAGGTTTCTTCTCCCCTTGTTTCACGGGTTCTCTTTCCTCTTCTTTCACTTCTTCTGCTCTGTCTTCCTTGTTATTTGGTCTCGGTGAAGCTTTATCGATCCCACTGAGCAATTGAAGAGTTACATTCTGAAATTTTAACAAAAGTTAACTGAATAAATAAAAGACCATGTAAATGGGATCAGCAAAATTAGTAATACTTGTTGAAATGGTAATAAATTAGCTTTTTGCTGTTATGTATCTTTAAATCTAGTGAATGAAAACCGGTAAATAACTCTGCCTAACTAGGATTGTTAGAGGTTCCTCCATGTTGGAATGACTCCATCTTAATGAGCAGAGAGGTAAAGCTCCAACCGGAGGGCTGGCCTATGATGAGTTTTTCTAAATGTGTCCAAATGGAGAATAAAAACACTCAAAGGTTGCACAGATATGACAAGTGGAGTGTTTTGTGTGAACAAACTTGTTAGAACTTTAACTGTGTTAATAAAGACACTATATAAGAGCATGCTGATAATGAATCGGAGATCGTTTTGGATTTTCTCAGTGTAAGTATACAGCGTCACAGATGGACTAACTCGAAATTTTTGTGTTGTGAAACGGGCACTCACTTTAATGGTCGTGACGATCACCGCCAACACAGCTTGGCCACTGTAAGATTCACTGAGGTCAAATTCGGCTCGCAGAGAATGAAACACTCCATTCATCACACGCTTCACCTGCAACAACACACAACTAGCCTCAGACTGATTGCTCAAAAGGAAGTTTTCGTCACAAAACATGCATTGCACTTAAAACTTCTACGAGAAAGACATACTTCCAACAAATAAATATTAGAAATTAGGCAAAAGTTGTCGATATATATATATTTTCTTTACAAATGTAACAAAATTCAACAAGATATCAAGTGTTAAAAATAACAGATTACGAATGCATAACTAAAAAGGCATTACAAAGACGTTATGGTCATGTGAGATGAAATTGGATGAATTTGGTTATGGTAGATCAAGACGTTTTTGATAAGACCACTCTGGAAAGTTCGCAGGACGACTTTAACGTGAGTGGAGTAAACAAAAGTGTTCTCAAGTGAAACAGAACATATGAATTTAATAAGACTTTGAACTCTGGTTCAAGAGTTGATTTTCTTTAGTCACATTTTTTTTATTTGAATAAATAAATATATAGTAAATATAGTGTCACTCCTCTCAACAATACTGCATATTTTCCTAAAGCCTTATAGAAAAAGGCCAATCAAGAGTGCTTAAGAAAAGTTTTTTGCAAAATATTAACATTATGAACCTTTATGTGGTTGTTTTATTTTTCCTTGGTAATGAAAGACTCCTCACCTCGGCCTCAGTGTCCCCTGAACTCCCCTGCTCCTCCACTTTTCTCTCCAGCTCCTCCACTTGTTTTTCCAGTTTCTGTCTGACAGCTGCTCCCTGCTTCTCTAAAGCTGTGTACTTGAAGAGGATAAGATTTCAGGTTGAGACATGTATCCATTTGCCTCCACATTTTGGGGCTTAGGTGATCTTTTTGTGATAGAAAGCGAGCCCTTTTATGTTGACAATTGGACAAATAAAGAACACTCGAAAGTAGAAACTCCCCCAGATGAGCATGCCAAACGCAACCAGGTGCATCCTTTACCAGATGCCCAAACCGACAACTCATTATTTTCAATGCTCTACTTCAAGTTCCCTCCAGATGGTGGAGCTCTTCACCCTCTCAGGGGAACCTTTTAGCAGCTCGTATACACAATCTGATTCTTTAGGTGATCAAAAAACGTACGTAGTTTAATTGTATCTGCAGAGATAAGATGCATTGCTGGGGCCACTATGCAATTTTGTTTACATTATCCATCAAATTAGCCCTATAGATAGGTGATCGCACAATTAAAAGGATTCTTTGTGTCTCTAGGAGAGGGGGGATGTCATAATACTATAACTTCCCTAAGAAATCGATACAGTTGCTCATTAACAATGTTCAGTCTGGACTTGACTAGTAGATGTCATTAGGCTTCAGGTAATAATGGTTTCCATCTCACTTTTTCCTGAAGAGCTTGCAGTTCTTCACTTTGCTTGCTGAGATGTAGCGAATTCTGTTCTTCTGAATTTCTTGACTGCTTCAGAACCATAAACTGTGGCCAGTGAGACAAAGAAAGAAAATACATAACGTGTTGCTTTCACAATTGCCCACTAACGTGATACGTACTTCTTGTTTCTATGTGCTATGGTACTTCCTTTTTTATCTTACAAAATAAGATCTAATCAGATATTGCAGTCATTAGTTTAGCATGTATTTTTGACTACTATTCGGACTGAACTAAGTCAATCAAATGTGTTTTTTGGGTCGTGTCATAATTTCTATACCTTCTCTTGCAGCTGAGTTAGCTTGTCCTGCAGAGCATCCCTCTGTTCGGTTAGTCCATGCAGTTCTCGGCTATGCTCCTCTTTAGCCAAAGCCAAAGTCTGCTCGCACTTCCCCTTCCACTCCTCCTCGAGTTCCACCTGTAACTGAGACAGCTAGAACAAATACAAAACAGCATTAATTATAGAAAAAGCTTTCTTTGCAATCGAAAAATTGTTGAACTTTTTCAGACAAAAAAGATCGACAAAAAAAAAAAAACATCTAAAAAACAAAACAAAAAAAGAATACTTTGACTGTGTCTTTTAAGACTGAATTAATCTATGCAACACAAACTGAAAGAAAATCAGCTATTTTTCTTAGACCCATTTTTTAAAGATGTTATTTTAGTCATTTGTGGGTGCTCCCTTTGGACTCTTCCTATGTTCAAAGCTATTTTTTTCAAATTAAGCTAAAATTCCATGACTTTACAAGTTGCTAATATGCTACTACAATCTGCCGTGATAGATTGTTTCTTACACATGCAGGTTATTAAGCACCCAATAGTCACTATGGCATTGATTCAAAATTGCAGTAAAAAATGTAGTCACGCAGAGTTTATCACTTTTGAATGAGTTGTTTCTCCCAGCCTTCCACTCTAAAATAGCTAAAATAGCTTTTTCACCTGTTCAGACGCGGCGTTGTCGTTGCTGGTTCTGGTCTGGCGAAGACGAGCTCGAAGGTTGTCCAGCTCTTGCTGACTGTTCTTCCGGAGCTCCTTCATTTCCTCTTCCCAGTGCTGTCGCTCTGCCTGCCATTTCTTCTTCCTCTCTGAAAGAGTCTGGAGAAAGAGGGGACCTAACTGTCAATCGGAATCTAGATGACATTTCTAACTTTCTAATTTTCTTGTTTTATTATTGCTACTGTAAATACACCAATTGGAGAGGCACTCCTAATTTCTTTGTACACAAGTCATTTAATGACATTAAAGGCGTTTTTATTTCCAATTAATGTGAAAGACAGTGTTGTCCATTTTAAAGATTTTTTTCACAGTGTGATATGTGGTGTAAATTAACAGAACAATAACAAGGTGACATCCTCTTTCCCTGGTAGAAAAACTTTCACAGTGAGTATTTCTCACCCACTCCAGACTCTCTTTGTCACTTTTAAGGTCCTGCAGCTCCTCTTCCATGATGTTGACTTTCTGCTCCATCTCTTTGCGTCTTTGCCTCTCTGTGCGGTACTGAGTCTGGACCTTCTCTGCCCCCTCCTGCACATCTGGAAACAAACATTGTCAAACATTAGACCAATCCCAAACAGTTACTGTTTGTGTAAAATCCTGATCCTGCCCTTCGTGTAATTTTTCTGAAACTTTGTGTGACTGATTAAAATAATGATTAGAATTATCTATGTCAGGGGTGTCTACGGGGTCAGTTCCTGGGGGCTGCTGTCCTGTAGGTTTTAGATATTTCCCTTTTTAAACACATCTGATTGACATCATTGTGCCATGAGCAGGCTTGTGCACAGCATAATCTTTTGAATAGCTGCACTTAATCTGAATCAGGCCTGTTCTGCAGTACTGTGGGCCTCAAAGACCAGATCTAGACACCTCTGATCTGACCAGGACCTGCTACACTACGGAGTGGTGCAGCAGGTCCAATCCACAGTGTTACCTGGATGTCCGATTCATAGGGTAAGACTAGGATTTTATCTCTGAGGAAGGAGAGAACCCTAAGTCAGAGACTTAAAGACAAAGGGATCTGGGATCCCTAAGAGGTAAGGGGCCTCAATAGTCCATAGACTGTGTGAGAGGGCTAAATTGTGTACGTTAAACAAGCATTGGCAGAGTGGAAGGAATACTGGTGGGGAACAAAAGCATTTTTTAAAAAGTGTCTTAAATAATTTTGGGAACTGCTTTACAAAGAATTAAAAAAATACCTAAAGCAATGGAAAAGTAATAAATCCTGGTTTTCGGGGAGGGGAGTGACTATGAAAAGCTGGGAAAGGACACTAAGGAAGTGACAAAGAGTTAATCTATGAGGATAGTATATAATAAGATAGTGTCTGAACAGCGTCACCAGAAAAACGTCACACAAAACTTACACCACGCACACAAGCATTGACCAAAGAGGAAGTTACAACATGTTGACTTAGTGCTAAACCAAGAAGTTACCTTAATAACTTAGGGAAATTAGGCAACTTCAACATCTTATTTAAAATATCCAAATGGTAAAGTTGGTGAAGAGAATTCATTACAAACAAGGCGAGTACTTGACCAGACAAACAAACTACATTTAACCGTTTAGGGGGAGATCTCACAAGCAAAATTAGGAATAGCAGCTTTGCCTTGTGAGCATATAGTGTGTGCAAAATGAATGACTAAATTAGATTAAGATCAGATCTAGTTTATGTTCCATTTCAAAATGCTATTTTTATTAGCATTTTGCAGATGACTCAAGCAAGAACAACAATAAAAATCTTATGGTTGCTAACTACTCGGCACAAGCTGAAGAATTATGACAATAACTATCAGGCATGCAACTTAGCAAAAGGGAAATCAGCTGTCACATCTATGGATAAACCAGTATGCTTTTAAATGTTTTAACAGCTCTTGCATTTGCAAAACAATGAAAAGGTTTAGATAGTTATCGCTATACGTAATACGTATACGTTAAGTCAAAACCTGAACTGGTAAAATCTGCATTTGAATGTTGTTGTATACACAGAATAATAATTCCACAATTCTAGTTTATATAATGCACTGTTTTGTCAACAAACCATGACCAAAATGTTGAACGAATGGCACGACCTACTGTGTAATGCAATTAACACAACAAAACTAGTCCAACTATTTCAAATTAGTCGCTAAATGCGATCTTAAATTTACCCAACCACTAGAAAACCTCATCAGTTCGAACCTTGTAGCTGTGTTTCCAGAGAGGCGATGCGTTTGCAGTGGCTCTCACTGTCTTCCAGGGCACAGCCAAGTTTACCCTGCAGCTCCAAAACTTTTTGCTGGAGACCTGAAGCCTCAAGCTGTAGCTGAGACACCCGGGCTGTAGATGAAGCCAGTTCCTCGGTCAGATGGACCTAATAAAGACACAGTGAGACACTATGAGGTCTAAAGTGAGGAGAAACAGCAAATGCCTGTTGATAATTAGGTAAAAGCCTAAAACATGCTGTAACAGCGAAACAGCCAGGTGACAAGCCTTGATGAATGGTTACTGGTGCTAGACGTGTGAGCAGCATGTCCTTATTCCAGAAAAAAAGAACAAAGACTAAAAGACAGGGAGCTGGTAGGAAGAAAATAAAGAACATCAGTTAAAATGTCAATGAAAATTTATGTGAAGATGATGATCCAGCAGCTGTGGTGAGATTGGGATCACATTAGTATACCTCTAAATTTCATTTGGAACCATTTATAGGGACTTTAAACTTCAGTAACAGTCACAGGAGTTGTCCTTCAATGTCTTATGCCCAAATAATGGTTTCACATCTTGGTGAAAATAGCTCTGGTCATTGTGTTTAAGCAGTTTTTCCTTTAAATTTTTTTTTTAAAAAGCAAACGCAAAGCCAGCAAGCATTAAATCCCCATAGAGTTTTTCAAATGAATTTATTTTTACTGGCTTCTCCTTAATTTACAGGAGCAAAATGTGATCCCAATCTAGTGACAAAACAAGGAGGAAAAAGGCTCACCTGGCCATAGCCTATGTCCACTGACAGTGCATGCTGAGGAAAGAGAGCAGTACATGCTAGATTTTCCTTAGAACAGCCACATTGCACACATGGCCAGGCACAGAGCAGTTAGCTCAGAGTAGCATCAGAAAATAGAGAAAGAAGATTAAAGAAATGCCACTACAATCCCCATAAACTGTGGGAATGTATGGGCATTTCTGGGAAATGTTTGAAGTGCATAAAGCCTCAGTAGAGCACATAAGATCTGGTATACAGCATATAATTGCAAATCCACTACAGGATTTATTCATGTCGATGTATAATTTTGCCAATCATTACAACCCCATAAAAAACTATATGGGTTTATAAAAACCGAAGGAAAGTGGAGAAGTTCAGTTGAATTAATTCTGAGACTCAAATAGAAGTCTTAATTTCATCGCGGCCAACAAACAAGTTCTAAAAGATAAAATGAAATTAAAAAATGTAAAAAAACTAAGAGCCACATAGTTTAAGCATTGATCAAACTTGAATCCTGGATTGGAAATAAAAAGCACAGAGTAAACATCAGTGGGCCCAATACTTGCCAAAATCAAGGTTTTCTTAAGTAGGTAAAAAATCACTATAGGCCTCTAAAATGTTTTGAAATACTCTTGTAGGGTTTGATCAGTTTGGGTCAAAATACATTCAAGATATTCTGGTATGTTGCAAACCTTTGAGGCATGTTTGATAATCAATATCAAACCTACAACGTCAATCAAGCATTCAGTTTCTGCGCCCCACATTTCCAATTAATTTCTGGTGTGCTGTAGATCTAGCTTCTTTAAAAAATCCATTGCCTGTTGCCTGTTACCTTATATTCTAAGAAAAGTTGCATGACAGACTAGGTGAATATGTGGATTGCAGTGTACCAATACTTTTAACAGGTCAATCAGAGTAGAAAAAAACTGCAAAAATACATAAACTTTATCAAATGTTTGACTGAATTAAATAAAAAGAACCTTTAATAATCACTTCATATTCATTTGGATTTCTATTTTCTAACTCCACAAATCATGAGTAAAAGGAAGAAATGTGGCCATTCGGATTTTCTACTACCAAACACACCAAGGTTTACTTTTAAAGAACCTGAGACGCAGATTTCAAGGTGGACCAAAAAAATGTCCTTTTTCGATCCCCACATGAGTTAAGTTGAACTTTCACACCTGAATAAAGCAGGACCTTTCATAAATGAAGCAAACCATTTAGCAGACCTGATCTCGTCTCAAAAACCCCTTTAAGGCGTCAGTTTTGTGAATTACATACAAAACCAACTGGATCTGGCTAGACTGAGGAAAAATAAGATAAAAAAAATGAATTATTCTAACATGGCTGAACACTCAAATTAATTTAGTTCATTCTAATATCTGAACCACAACTAAAATAACCATTATAAAAAATTAGGTAATGTGGGGAAAAGTGGTTTCAACAAAAAATAGCACATCACTAGATCAGAATGCACAAAAGCCCAATAGTGCTTATAACAAAAAAAAGTCAAAATCCCAGTGGAAGCAGTCTCTCACCTTGTCCTGTTCAGCTTGCAGCAGTCTTGCCTGGTTCTGTTCACAGGAGGACTTGAGGGAGTCGTTCCTCTGCTCCAGAAGCAGGTGACTCTGCTCCATATACCTAGGAAAACCAAAGAATAGATTACATCTAATGAACTTAGACTCATCACTAAGTCAATTTGGTCACGGTTTAGAAAAATATTACCATGAAGATGATGTGAAGTTTAAAATAGTTTAAATTAAATCATCATATCTGGCCAAAATGTGCCTCTTGCTTGATGTTACATAAGGAATCTTGGAATTCAGGCCTTTTAGTTTCTGAGATATCCATGGAATTTTATGGAGTTACATTTATTCAGTTTATGTGATTACAATTGTTTATTTTTATTTATTTATTTCTACAAAAAATTGGATTGGATTATGTCTCATCTAAGGGAAAACTTCATGATAGACACATTGTGAGTCACCTCTGGTTTTGGTTGATGAGATCCCCAATCTTATGGTTTTGCTCTTCAATGCGAGAACTCTTTTCAAAAACTTCCTTCTTCAAACATTCATTTTCCTACAAACAAAATTAGTTTTCAGAACAGGCTACAATGACACACAAAATTAAGGAGAACAATCCATTTCAATAACTTTTACTGTATTTATTTGTTAATTACCTATAGTCTGAGTTGCTGCTTAACTTGGTCATAAAAATCTTGGTAAGGAGATTCAAAAACACAAGTTACAAAGACTCCTCTGTCTGTGAAATAATTTTACTTTAAGAATGTGGACTATTTCTTTTAGATTTGTGCAGACTAAAAAGCAAACTCTTCTGCTATAAATCAAATTCCAATAAACCAAGTCTCTATCAGATACTAAATGTTTTTGTTTTTTTGCCATACCTGGACAATTCTTTGAACACTGTGCATGATCATAGAAGTTTCCATTGACATACTTGACATACTCAAAGAATTATTTCCCTGCCTTTGAAGATCATCGATCTGTTACAAGGGAAAAACAACAAAAATCAAATGTTTGAGTATTTTTAAGTTGTTTAAGGAGGCATACAATATGTATATAATGAGTTCACACCTTTGTGGCTAGTTGATCCACTTTATCCGACACTTTTCCCACCGCTAAGCGGATTTCTGTGTTGTGTTGCCTTGCTTCGGTCATCAAGAAGGAAGTCACATCACCAGAACCTGGAGAAACGAAACCAGTCAGGGGGGACGTGTTGGTGAAACCATTTGAGCTCGACGTGTGTCGATATCAAATGAGAAGCTGGACGTATACGGGCCGGCCATTTTGTTTTGTAACTGGACAAAACAACCTTACCCATGTATGGGACTGTCTGTGCAGGGTAGGCCTGTGGGACAGGCTGCATCTGAGGCTACCAAACCACAAAATGCAATGGTGTCGGGCATTATAATCAGATTTAACTTTCTCCATTTATGTGCTGACGGAGATCATTAGACAAAGAAATAAACACAAAAAACGCGAAATTTGAAGAAATCTTACCTGAAAGGCATGGTTCATGCCTGGCAGTCCAGACTGGGAGCAAACAGAGGCCATAACAGGAAGTAAGGCCGAGGTCGGAGCCGTGTGGGGGTGAGGATGTACTGCAGGGGGAGACGATGCAATTAAACAAATGATCTTGTGTGACAGGAAGGAAGAAAGCAAGAGTTGAGGGACAACGCTCACCGTGTGCAGAAGGTGGAGCATTTGCTGGGATGTGCATTGCAGATGAAGCCATTAGACCGTCCATTCCTCTGTTCCCACTTGTATCCTAGAGAAAAAAACGCATAGCAGAAAAGGCTTAGAAATTACAACAGAAATCATTTAACATGAACGAACATAGCCACAATTTGTCTTTGGATAGATCATTTAGTTGATATTTTAAATCGGTTAATCGTGCCATACAATGTTTTTCATACCATGCAATGCAAATGGAACAGCAACATTCTCAATTAATCCAGAATCCAAGCTGAATAATGTTTTATACCATTTCCTTATATTTATTTACTTTTTTATTCTCTTTATTAAAAAAGAGATACCATTGATTTCAGCTAGTTTTAAGTCAAATGAACAATATTCCTAGTTGACAGGGTTCATAGAATGACTTATGTGACTATCATTAACATAGGTTTTAAAATGACATCCCATGATAAAATAAGGGAACATTATATTAGGGATAGGGTTATTGAGGGATTTTTGTTTCTCCAGCAGCCAAATAATCATTCCCTGATTCAATGATTGAGTTTTTTTTTCTTTTTTTTAATCTAAGTTGTGTGTGTGTGTGTTCACAGGAGTAAAGGAACATGTTCTAGAGAACTACATTTATCAGGTTGTGAAGAGCAAAACAAAAATGAAATTTTTACCTCAAATTCAGAGTCACTGGATTCTGGATGGTTGGCTGCTCCGGTCAGAAATGGTAGCATGGGCTGACCCATCTTAGCCATGCGAGAAATTAGCTTGGCTTTAGTGGCGTCTGGATTCTGGAAAGAACAGTAATCATCAACAAAGCTCCAAGGTACACGAAGGCGTGGAAAACAAATACAGCAAAAGGCAATTAAGGTGCTTACAGCAAACTGTTCGTTCAGAGAGTTTGACTTTGCACGAAGTGGCGGCTCCCTAATGGAAAAAAAATAGATGTTTCAGTTTAGAGAAGGTGATAATAGGGCAATACAATACAAATGAGCATTTTCCCAGTCTTTAATCTCACCCTGGTCTGCCTGGACCAGAAGCAGTTGTCGGCACTGGGGCTTCTGAAATGAGACTTTCCACACTGGGAGCAGGAGAAGGAGCAGCGGAGTCTCTGGAGCTGGCACTCCCCTGATCAGAAGCACTGTCTTTGGAATATTTCACCTACGAAAACAAGCTCAGTGAGCTGGTCTTCGCATTACACTGACAAAATAAGTAACTAGGAGGAGGAAAGCTGCTTTGGGAGTTCGAGCACCTTTAAGCTTTTTTTAATTATAAGTAGGAAAATATCTAAAAAGCAAATCGACACAGGTGTATCACGTGAAACCATCACTGGGCATTACCCGTCGTAGCTCTGCTTCAAAGATAAGTGTGCTGTTAGCCGGTACTTGATTAGGTATTTCCTTGGATCCATAAGCTAGACTGGGTGGGATGATAATGAGTCGACGGCCTCCCTTCTTCATCCCAAGCATACCTTCCTCCCATCCCTGTAAAAATGCAAAAATATATATATAACACAATGAAATACAAATATGTTGCACTTGATACAGAGCTCAAGCTGGACAGTGACATTCTTTCACAATAGGTCAGTTAATAGTAATCTAGTCAGAGAGAATAGAAAAGCCATATTTTTCTTTTATAGGAAAATTTCATTAGACTCTGTAGGCCTTGTATTGCAAACAAAACTTAACTCCTGACCCCCCACCTCACACACATTATATTTTGTGTAATAATCTGTGTCAAGAAGCCCAAAAGGGATGATCAGCAATAGAATGAAACACTGGAAGGAAGCCAGAGGGCCAATAAAAACCCCACATATTCATGATGAAAACATGCAGACTCGTCACAGAATGGAAACAGCCGGCATTTAAAACAAGGAACCTTCTTGCTGTGAGGTGACAGCACCAACCCTGTCCCCATGCAGTACTGTGATTCAGATAATTCGTTTAAAAGCATTAAGTAACTGCAGCTTGTTGACGCTGGACCTTGTTGCTAGGCATTGGAAAAAAATATAACTTATTTATCTAATCATCCTGTGCCTGTAGAACACTGAGGACCCATTGAGGACTTGCATAGGCCTTTCAGGACAACACTTCACTTACTTTCACTGGAATTTTCCTTTTACTATTAGCTGCATGTATTTCATGTACAACAAATCATAGACTGATTAGAATAATGATTACTGAATCCCCTTAAATGAATTCATGACTTGCTTGAGCACTTCTACATGTTGATATCCAGTGTATAAATTTTAAAACTGTTCAAATGAAAGTAGAATTATTTTTCCAAACTTAGAATTATTTAACTATGAAGCATTTTCTCTGTTATTCTTATACATAGAAGCACAACTGAACTCACTTTAATCACTTTTCCAGCTCCGATTTTAAGTCTCAGCAACTTGTCTTTGTTCTGGTTGGAGTCAAATATCTGGGGGGAAAAATGGAATTAAATGTATTGCATGTCACCATGTCAAAAGCAATCTATATAAACTTAACAATATATGCTGTAATGTAATTCATTCAGATAATGTTGAAAGAGAGAGACCTGTCCAATCGCGTGGTTCTGCAAGAGCCAGCCTGTGTACACCACCTCCAGAGAATCTCCCGTCTCCACGGCTTGGCCTTCACCAAGAATCAGATCCTGAGCCACCACAGAATTCAAGGAGGAGGAGCTGTTTGCTTTAGCCAAACATACCTGGTGACGAAAGGAAAAAACATATCATGGCCTGTTTTCTTACTCACTGTTGGTCAGATAATGATGGCTGTGTGAACTGTTGGTCTATTCATGTAATCGCTCACCTCTTTGCAGAAGTCCAATGCGTTTTTCTCCGATTCAAACATCAGGGACCAGTTCTGCCGCTGGTCATCGTAAAAAGTGCAGTAATTGTTTGGCTGAACCTACAGGACAATCAAACAAACCATCCGATGTAAAAATGTGGTCTTTGTTCTCCCAAAACTCTTTAACGTGAACTTTCCCCTTGCCCCCGATTCCCATTTAGCTGATACCGATTTTTTTTTTGCAGCTGTCATAAGGTCACATTATATCTATAACATTCCATTATTTTCTTGAAAAGCAATTAACAATACCTGTGAAACGACACAAACTTGTTTGAACTTCACAATTTAGTGCTCTCAATTATAAATCGAAAGAGCATTTTTTTCCAAACTACTGAATTAACTAAGCTAGATCATTAAACTCATCATCATCCAGCTCTATACCCTCAGCGGGGTCCTGGAGGGTGCATGGGAGTTCACCCAACCAGTCCACTTGTGTTTGGTGGATTTGGAGAAGGTGTTCAACCGTGTCCCTCGGGGTATCCTGTGGGAGGTGCTCAGGGAGTATGGGGTACCAGGCCCTTTGTTATGGGCTGTTAGGTCCCTGTAAGACCGGTGTCAGAGCTTGGTTCGCATCGCCGGTAGTAAGTCGGACTCGTTTCTGGTGAGGGTTAGACTCTGCCATTGTTGCCCTTTGTCACCAATTCTATTCATAAGTGTTATGAACAGAATTTCTAGGTGCAGCCAATGTGTTGAAGGTGTCCATCGCAGTGGCCTTAGGATAGCATCTGTGATTTTCGCAGATGATGTGGTCCTGTTGGCTTCATCAAGTCGTGATCAACACCTCTAAATGGAGCGGTTTGCAGCAGAGTGTGAAGCAGCTGGGATGAGGGGCAGTGCCTCCAAGTCCGAGACCATGGTCTCTCACCGCAAAAGGGTAGAGTGCCTCCTCCGGTTCAGGTGGGAATGCCCTTTCCCAAGTGGAGGAGTTCAAGTATCTCGGGATCTTGCTCATGAATGGGGGTAAAATAGGGGTTCAAAACATGTTTAAATAGACAGGGGGATCGGTGCAGCATCGGCAGTGATGCGGGCACTGTATCGGACCCTTGTGGTGAAGAGAGAACTTTCGATTTATCTGTCGATCTACAGTCCTACCCTCATCTCTGATCACAAACTTTGGGTAGTGACCGAAGGACCAAGATCGCAGATACAAGCGGTCTAAATGGGTTTCCTCCGCAAGGCTCTCCCTTAGAGATTATTAGCCATCTGGGAGGGAATCGGAGTAGAACCACTGCTCCTCTATGTGGAGAGGAGCCAGTTAAGGTGGCTGGGCTTTGCTTTAGAGATAGGGTGAGAAGCTTGGCCATCCGGGAAGAGCTCAGAGTAGAACCGCTTCTCCTCCACGTGGGGAGGAGCCAGTTGAGGTGGCTCGGGCATCTTTTTAGGATACCTCTTGGTCGCCTCCCGGGTGAGGGACACGCTGGAGGGACTAAGTGTCTCAGTTGGCCTGGGAACACCTTGGGATCCTCCCGGAGGAGCTAGCAGAAGTGGTGGGTAAGAAGGAAGTCTGGGTTTCCCTGCTTAAGCGGCCGCCCCTGCGACCTGACCCCAGATAAGTGGTGGACAATGATTGGATGGAAGGATTAATCATCATACTACCAAACTGACTACATGGTTTGTTGACCCTGCTGGGGGACCACCGTTAACCACGCACATGCAGATGTGGCCTGGTGGACAACAACAGCTTTGTCTCACGGCAGAGCAAGAGGGGACGGTGGAGTATTTTCTGACCATTGTGGGGGAATGGCTCTCACGCTTTTGCTTCAAATGCTTGATGGCTCAACTTACCGTGAAAATAAAGCCCATATGAATCTTGGCAGCGGCCACTTGTTTCTGTTGACTCAAGTACAGGAGAAGTTTGTACTGCAAAAAAAAAAAAAAGGAATAAATCGATTTTTTTTTTCTCATAAAAGTCACAACAATCTTCTCGAACAAGTGACCAAGTCGTGGGATGTCTGACCTCTTTTGTTGAGTGGTTGCCCAGCACAGCTGCTCCCAGCTTTCCTTGCTTCACATATTGTCCGTTAATGCTGCATGGGGAAAAACATTTAAAAAAATCTTTACACTGGACTTACTGTGGGAATATTTGGGGACTTATAACTTATTTTAAGATTAATACTTTAACATCATCTTAAACTCACTATCTGAAGGCTTGAACCGCTGAGACAAATAACACTGCAGGAGCACTCGGTGTCGGGGCTGGTTTCTGATTGGCTGGTGATGTAACCAAGTAAAAGACATAGTTTAGGTAAGTCTCCACATAACAGCCAAATATGAAGTGGTGTGTCTGACATCTCAAACCTGAAAGCATTACCTGGATTGGAGCTCTTTCTGGGCTGTTTTGGTGCAGTGTACTGGAAAGACTCGTTCCCCTGACTAGTTTCCTTGTCTAATCCAAAAAGGGAAGCCAACTTGGCTCTGCAAAAACACAAATGAAAAGATTATGGGTTTCGTTCCATCTTAACATATATTCATAAAAAGAAAGCTTGAGCTCAGATATTAAAAAAAGGCCATATCTTTTCTTCCCACAGCATGCTGCATGCGTGACTTTCAGCCTTGCTGAAGGATTTATGGAGTTACCGTCGCTGCTCATGTGCTGCATTTCATACAATAAATCTTCAAACACAGGCAACTTCTGGACAGATACAACATTATAAAACCACAACATCACCAACCTTTTGTCATCTGGCATCTTTTTAAAGCCACTTTCAAGTGCAAAATACCAAACTCTTATACTTGAGAAACTAAAAACAATAAATACTTTTTTGTCTTAACATGAACAACAAAACATATTAGTCTTATTACCTAATTATTTCGTTTTTTTGGTCATTCATTTTGCCAATAAATCAGTTTTTCCTCACATTCTGACATAGCAGTTGGTACTAACCCTTGAAACTCCTTCCACTGGTAATCCCCAGCGTCTTTCAAAACAGACATGTCGAAAGCCCTGAGCCCTTCATCTCCAGCTGTAAAGAACTGGGATGGGTTCAGGCGGCCAGTTTGCATGCGGCGGTCAGAATCTTTCTTCCGAGCATTCCAACGCTCCTCTGGAAAGCAACCCCGAATCTCTCACCCCCCAACTGCTGTCACACCAGCGTGACAGATGCTGCGGCATAGCCGAGGAAAAAAGCGAGGCGCCCAGCCCCGTCGGGTCTCGGCTGAGCTCAGACGGACGTGTTAGAAAAGTTTCCCCGTTACTCTGCTAACACGCAGCATGTGAAAGGAATTAGCTGCGAGAAACACACTCCCTCCCTTCCCTCCCTCCCTCTGCTAGAACCAACTGGACTTGCAGCTCGTCCCACACATAGCTGGCATCACGCAGCCGTCACGGCAAAAGCACAGCACGCTTGTCTGCCTGCAAACACGGCAAAGCTGTAACTGAATGGTGTATTTATAGCAAGTGAATCTGCCTCATTGCTAAATGGTCACGTTTACCTCCTGCAACACTGATTGTAAACACAAAAAAACCCACTCTGAAACATTAAAATGACATAAGAGATTGTATTTTAACATGTTATGAGAGAAAAAAAAGTATAGTCTCACAGATAAATCAATTTTAATACTTGGGATCATTAAAATCAATCATAATTATCCAAAGTAAAATCACAACTGAATAAGGAAATGTCTACATAAAAGTCAAAACAGCCAAATGACTTAAGTTAGACTGTTAAATCAGTTTTCATACTGACCAAACACAATGAAAAGCCCCATTCATTAACACTACTCTGAAGATGGAAGTCAGTGGAAGCATGTGATAACTCATCAGACCAGAGCAGAGATTAGGTCAAGATGAAAGCAGGGGAACTGTAACCTGAACTGAAGATCAGCAAATAGTCAGTTTCACTTTTATACATTTAGAATAGTTGTATGGATTTGAGCTTTTTGTAAAAATGTTTACGTTAAAAGGCCATCAGGCACTAAAATACTCATCTAAAGTCAACATTACTGTTAGGAGGTTTTTTTTGTTTGTTTTTTATGTCAGCTCATTTTTTTCCCCACGCCATTCAAATCTTGCCTTGGTTTTTGATTCGCAGGTTCTTTATTTGATATCTCGTTAAAAGAAAACGAAACCTTTTTCGTAATTTCTGTACTTAAGATGGGACAAACTTACATTTAATAAATAATAACGTTAAAAGGTATTGTTTGTCTATTAAACCAATTCAAATGTGAGCTTTATTTCTGCAGGATGGTAAACAATTGACTTTTTTTAAATAATCATTTATTTTTACATTTTAAGGTTCACTTTTAAGTTTTAAGTTCACGCACGCGAGCAGCTAACCAGTGCTAAACGCTGGACAGCTAGTTAGTTAGCAGACTAAAACAGGTTAATTTGATTTTTTTTTTTTTAAACTCACCCTCCCGTGGGTGACAAAAAGTCCCCGTCTTCGTCGTCCCCGCCGAACATCTTTAAAGTTTGACCATTGTTCTTATCATATAAAACAAACACACAAAATCAGATAGCTGGTCGACATGTAAAATTTGCGACTTCCTCTTCCTGTTTGAGGCGCAATCAGCTGACGTTCCACCTGACCTCCATGTAATACCACCACTCACCACTAGAGGTGCCAACTACAACTGGATTTTAGCGTTCAGATCCATGCACCTTTATGATAGATAGATAGATAGATAGATAGATAGATAGATAGATAGATAGATAGATAGATAGATAGATAGATAGATAGATAGATAGATAGATAGATAGATAGATAGATAGATAGATAGATAGATATTTTTTCAAACATACAGATTTTATTAAATTTGAATCATCATTTATTTATCAAAAAAATATGTACAAAAATAATATAACATATCCCCCCCACCAAACCCAAAAGTCCATTGCTTCTGCTGCATGTTAGGAAGAGGTATGTGATTTCCTGTTCCGCTTTGCCCGACGTCCAGACGGAAATTGGATGAACCCAAAGTGTTTGCTTTGGTCCATGTTGGGGAAAGGAGGCGGACCCGTGTGAAGCCTCTTGATGAAATGGACCTCTCTCTGGTTCTCCCTCGTCCTGGAGGCTTTGATGGGCCTCCCTTTCCTGGTGAAAGCCACATACCAGCCCTCATACTTGGCATTCTGCAGGGCTGTGTAATTGTTTTCCAGTACTATCTCAGTGAAAATGCAGTCCCTGCTTCGGCCGTTTGGCTGCAAAGCAAGACAGAAAGGTTTGTTTTCTGTTATTTATACAGAAATGGGATGTCATTTACACAGAAAAAATGTAAAAAGAAATGAGATGAATGTGTTCGGATTTATTTAAATACACACTAAAGAATAGAACCACTGGATTTCAATTGATAGATCAAACATTACCTATATGTACTGCTTCATGTTAAGTAAGCTGATGGTTTGTCCATTGATTTTTAAATAATTTTTAGAATGAGGCTTTAGTATTCAGGCTACAAAATTATTTGTCCTCCTTTTTTTTAAAGAATTGACTTCTTTATGCATAAAAAAGACCACCATTTCACTGATACACTCACTCACTGTTGGGGTATGTAAGAGAATATTAATTTATATATTATCATAATATCATTAGGAATCCTCAGTTCATTATTGCACTCCCAGGAAAAGATCTATAATTTTCCAGATATTACGATTAGATAGATATGGCCTGCTTGTTTGTTTAACTTTTTTGTGGTTTTATCAAAAAAGGTATATCAGATTTTAATGGTAGTGTCATTTGAGAAATAAATCTTAATCTTTTTCAATTAAGCAAAAAAAGATGATCTAATTACTAAATTATCAACTACTGTAATTCTGTGTTTTACATTATGTGATATCCAAATAAACTCTAATTGATCGAATTGTCACAGGTAGAGTTTGATAACAGATTAGTTTAATTTCAGTCACATGCTGTTTTATTAATCTGGTGTGAGGGGTCTACTTCTCGGTGTTGAAACAAACATCTCTCAGAGCAAAAGACAGAAAGCAATGATCTGAAATATATTGATGACTTGTCCTGATAGCCATATAGGAATCCATCTTTTCATTTACATGAAGAAAGTGGACTGTTGGTTTTCCCCTCAGCCTTGGCTAACAAAACTTCCCTTCAATCATTTGACACTTAGATTATGCATTTCTAATAAGGCTCCTCTTCTTGATGTTCGATGACCAAGTTCTACAAATTTGGTGATAGAACTTGGTCTAAGAACCACACTTTAAAATTTGTGTATGTGCAATATGATTAAGTGTGGACTCAGTAAGTTAATTATAGAAAAATGTTTGCCATAAATGATAAATTAGTGTTTATTGTTCTTGAATGTAAAAGAAGTACAGAACCTCTTTTTTGCTCATTAAGCTTTTTTTTGGTCAAAACCTCAAGTAAATTTGGGAGCACTGGCAGTTTTGAGTAGACAGTAGAGTATACTTTTAATTGGTGTTCTAATTTTGAGATAATATTGGCTTTATTATATTAAAAATCTACCTACAGCAATGGACACATTGGCTCAATGTTATCATTACGTAACCTTTTTTTGTCTTTAATCTCAAAACATGAACTCAAAAATTTTCAAATATGTTTTAAAATCTATTTTTACAACTATATTTTCCTATACGTTTTTGCAATTTAAATGCAAAGGCTTCTTTGTACACTATAAAGTGAATTACAGAAACGTATTTACCTTTCCAACAAGTTTCCCCTTCCGGTTCATGCAGAGGAAGCGGCCACTTTCTGCACCTCTTATTCTCACTCGACTCCCAAAGGTGTCCGTCTCCACAAACAGGCGAGCTGCGGTAGAGAACAGAGTTAAACACCGGAAGATTTGTTGCCAACAGTTTATGCAACCTATAGACGATGAGGTCTAGCAATCTCAGTCTACCTTTTTGAACAGAGAACAATACACACAGCCTAACCTGGATAGTGGGAGGATGCCCGAATACCCAAAGAGAACTAAAAAAAATGCAAACCCAACACAGAAAGGCCACTAGCAGGGACTAGAACCTGCAACCCTCTTGGTGCTCTCCACCATAACACACTTCAACTCAGTTTATGAGTTTAAAATGTTACTTTACTCCTATGAGTCTTGAATTTCTTCAGGGGAACATCTTCTTTGAGGTGAAAGTCTCGAATAAAGGCCAAAACACCAACTGATGTTATCTGCGGACGTTAAAGTGTGCTGGGAGCTGAATATACTCACATAATTGATCTTATCCTGCAGTTAATTAGAGCCGTTGGGCATTAAAAAAAACACCTTGTGTATTGGGGCTATAAAGACAAAGAGCTGGTCCTAATCAGCCGCTAAATAGCCAGACGACGGCCTCATGGATACAGCAGGGAGGCCGAATTAACATACAATCCTGAAAACAGCTCACAAAGGGGAGTGACAGGTGGGCTCGAGG